GGTTGGGGGATTGTGGGGTTGGGGGGTTGTGGGGCTGGGGGGAGCAGGGCCCGGAGCAGCTTGCCAGGGACGCCCAGGAAAACAAACGCTCTCATGTGACTGTATCTGGGACAATACCAGCTTAGCCATGGGTGCAGCCAGCAGGAATCCTGCTGCTCCCGAGCCCTGCTAGGCATGGATAAACCTACATTAGAGCAATTAATAATAATTAATAATTGGGTCTGCGTTTGGAAAAGCAGCTGAAGCCAGCGCTGGTCTCCAGAGCGTTGTCTAGACAGGGAAATGCGAGGTACAGTTTTGGAGCGATGGGTTTGGGGTTGGCAGAGCCCTGGGCTGTGGGGTTTTCCTGCCTTTGGCATCCTGGGGGCTCCTGGGTGTGATTTAGGGCACACAGGACCCTTCCCCTCAGCTGCCAGCAGGCACATCCCAGCCTTGGGGGTTTGGGGACCCCCCACCCACCCCGTGCTGCAAGGAGGAGCAGGAACGGAGCCCCCCAGCTCAGCTCTGCTGCTTCCCTCGGGGTCTGAAGCCCCCAGGTGAGATGGGGACAGGCACAAATCCAGGCTGGGATGGGAAGGATGAGTGCAAAAGGGCTGGGATGGAAGCAGCCCCCTTGCCCTGGTCCCAGGATGCTCCTGAGGCGGGAGGAGAATTAGTTTTCCACTAAGCTCATCTGTAATAAACACAGACACGGGAGCAATGGGCAATTGCTCGGCCTTTAATTACAGCCAGTCAGGGTATTCAGGGTCACAGGAGCCGGGATCCAGAGCCAGGGGGAATGAGGGGGGTGATTCTCAGGAGGAACACTGCAGGAATCTGCAAAACCTTCTGTGCCTGAGCTCCTTTGTCATCCCTTTCACTCAGCAGGAGCCTCCTGTCCTCCCAGCCCAGAACATCTCAAATCCCAGAGCCGTGGATACCAGAATATCCCGAGCTGGAGAGGACCCACGGGGATCATCAATCCCAAATCCTGACCCTGCCCAGACACCCCAACACTGCCAGCGGTGTCCAAACACTCCTGGCATTCCCTGGGCATCAGCCGCCCTGCACAGGAGCCTGATGGAGCCCCAGAAACCCCTCTGAGCCCCCTGACAGCCTTCCCACCCTCCGGCATTGCTTCTGGAAAACTCACTGAGCTACTTGCAATGTCTTAACGGCCACAGAGGCTGAGGGGCCCTCACTAAACCCATTCCTCATCGTGCTGGGGTCATCTCCCCACAGCCTCTCTCATCCGGGAGGATGAAGGGCTGGAAACGCTGAGTCCCGGTTGGTGCCGGGCTCCCCGACGCAGGGACGGGCTGGGAAAGCTGCGCTGTTTCCCTGCTGAGCTGGACAGATGCTGTTTGTCCTTCTCCTGGCGCTGCCCAGACGCCTGCCTGGTGATGGATGGCGGTGTCACAGCGTCACAGCAGAGATCCTGTGCTGTCACAACCGCTGGGTGGGAAATGTGGCGGGTGACTCCACCATGAGCTGCGCCGCTCCCCGGAGGATCTGAGCGCCGGGGTGGAGGGGAAGGGAGCCTGCAGGAGGAGGGAGACCTGAAGGTGTCCTTGGTCCACCTGGCAGGAGGAGCTGGTTCTTCCCTTCTGCCTTCTCCTGCTCGGATCCTCAAGACTTGAGCCCTTCCGTTTTCCTTCCTGGTGTCCAATGTCACCCAATG